TAACCTACGTAGACCGTTTCACTCGATGACCAGAAATAGTACCCATCGGGTTCATTACGGCTGAAACAGTGGTCTGCGCTTTCATCGAACGATGGGTGCAAGATCCATTTTGAAGGCTTAGTGTGTGAAAATCCCTCCATGCATACATTTGCTACTTATTCTTATTGGTTCCTTTAGTTGTACATTTTGTTAGTCTTTTTGATGCCACTTGGGATGGCCATATATTATTTTATTATAGTTTTCCAATTTTTCTTTCACGTTCACTGAGTTTCTGTGCTTCTTTCGGAACTGTACATTTGTTGTTTTAGTTGACACTTAATCTTTGCAGCAGCCATATTGATTGTTCCCCCTTTGATCGTGTCGCTTGAGTTGGCTGGGGTTGTGTATTTTGATTGTGAATTGAAGCACTTTCCAGAATTGAAAACACTTTATATTTTAAAGCAATAAACTATTATCTTTTGAACGGATTTTCACTTGATCTGTCCAGAAAGGATAGAAAAACACTTATTTTTTGGTGCGCCAGGTAATTTTCTTATATTTATTATCAGTTTGTCTATTTATTGTAATTTAGATCTGTTATTGAGGGGATAATTATTGATTGAATAACTGAGCGGCAATATTTGTTTAGTAATAATGTACATTTTTATTAACGATGTAATTTAGAACCGTTATTTTCTCAATCCCATTGTTTTTATTTCAACTGGGCAACAGCGTGTGTCTAAACTGCTCAGACAGTTATTCTTCAGCCAAACCTTAGTTTGGATCCTACAATGGTTGGCGAACTTCGACTGCCCTTCAGCTATCACCACAGGTCGAGGACGTAAGTTCGAATTCAAAAAAATTAGGGATCATATTAGCGAAAAATTTTGTCGTCCGTTTTGGGGTGAATATATAAATATAAGCACATTAAAATTTGTTTTTTATACGATATATAATACAAGGAAAAATCGAGATGAAATGGATAGTAAATCAGTGCATCACGTGCAATAATCTTTTAAATGTTCTGTAAACCTTACTCTCATTTCAGAACGAGTTGTTTTGAGTCTATTTTCAGATACTGCAAAAGTATCATCGTAAATGATAGCTATCGTATGCGGTATCATATGTGTACTGTGCTGAAGAAAAATCGATGTGGATAGGGTTTACTTCTAAATACGCTGCTTTGGTGCTGTTGATGCTGATGCTATCGTCAGTCCCGTTCTTATCGATGACATATTACTTAGGTTCATGGTGAAGAACTTTGAAGGGTCTTTCATAAGTAAAGCCAAGTTACTATCAACCAAAGAATACCATAATAGACTAGGTGCAATGGAGGAAATGCAGCATTAAGAACGTATGAGCACTAACCTTGTCCTAGGTCAAGGACCGAACGTTTTATATAAAAACAGATGTATGAATAGAAAAAATAGCAATCAGTGGGAAACAATGTCGGTATCGTTTAGTATGCAAATAGGATGGATTTCCTCTTTCTCACACATAAATGAACAAAGTGCACATAGATCCATTATATCTTCATCGTTGCAGAGATGTAGTAGATGATAAAGTGAAACTTAATTAATAGTGGAAAGCATGAGTCAATTGAAGCTAAACCACTATCGAAAACCTGGAAACACTGGACGACCGCTTCGTCCTATTATGGGACTCCTCAGCAGTGCGCATCCACGAACCCGCTCTCGCAGGATTCGAACCCAGGACCTACCAGTCTCGAGCCGAAGCCCTTAACCGATAGACCACTGAGCTGGTATCCAACGGTGTTAATGTCTAACTTCAACTGATCAACGAAGCAGTGACCAGTGGAGTTCAAAACCACATCTGTTGTGAGATAGGAACTCACCACACACCACATCATTGTTAATAAACGTTTTGTAGAGATAGGTATCACGTTGATAACAGGGTCTTCTAATCTCTGTCATTGTAAGCTGTCGTAACACCTCGAGTTTCTCTAAGTATGTCAATCCAGTCTAATCAGAAGACAAAAGTGAAGTGGTTGAAAGGTATGTTTGGAAGGTGATCGATATGTCGAGAAGCGTTTGATCTAAGCTGGATAATAGTTGCAAGGAACCGATTGCATGGCGTTCGCATTGGTGATTTGGTCGGGATCCATGACCGAGTGTCTTCATCTAGGTATGTCCAGTGAAATTATTGAGGTCAGCATTGATTTCAAAGGCTTACAGAACTATTTATCTTGGGGACTTGTTTGCTGTTACGGCTCACTCCTCCCTAATGGGGTAGCGATGACCCTAAGACATGGCCAGCCAGGTGTTTAAACCCAACGGGCTTGTCTTATGGTAGTTTACTATATTCTGCAGTATCTGGTCGTTTTTCCTTACGATAAGTGGCCATGTGGTGCAGTATAACAATGGGGAAAAATGTATGGTGAAAATTTATATTCATCGTACTCTCTGTTGCTCTTCCATCTTTTCCAGTCGTCCTGGAAAGGAAAAGGAATTAAATTGCAAGTGCATGTCGAAGTACACTTGCACGTGTGTAAGGAAACAATGATAGCTTTTTTAGGAAGCTCAAAATGTCCTAAATACTCGAAAGTTGCTCGATGTTTTACTTTTATCCTGAAAATTTTACAATCTTCTACTCTATCATATCTCTTAATTTCCTAATAGTTCTTGTCATTTCTTAACCACATATTATCTTACCAGTCTCTTATAGCTTATATCATTAGTTATCTTCATAGGAGTATGATACACTTAGTGGGTGTCTAACCCGCAATACAAATGTTTTAGCCATCTGATTTGCTTGTAACATGGAACTAGTGGAGACAGTATATTCCAACTACGGGCCTTGATTAAAGTAATATTCATACTTAACAAAGACGTAAGAGAGCCTAATATCACAAAATGAGGGAGGGTGGCGTCATTGGCCTGATGGTGGGGAGATAACCTCAATCCACCTGTGTCTGTAGGGTAGAACACCCAATTTAGAGACAATGTGTAAGGAAGATGCCCATTGGCTGTGCTGGTAACAGAGTGACTCCTAAGCCGATCATGTGGTCAACTTCTTTACCAAACAACCTTACCTTTTCAAGAGTTGTTCGGCATGCTTTCTGAAATACAGATGGTCATGTAGTGATGTGATGTGCAACACTGCTGGTTACACATGGCAATTTCGGTTGCGTTTAGTGTATAACTGATGAGTCTCGTCAATTGAACGCTATACTCGGTTCCTAAGCTATTATCGTAACAACCAAGCTAAATCTACACGGCAACGTGAACACGAGAGAAAAGGTGCAAAATATGCAAGAAGCACTTTACTCCGAAGGTTCATTCACGTACAGAAAATATAAGGTTTTTATGATATTTTAGAAATCAGAGTATTACACAGTTCTGTAACGTCATTCCATGTCGTTCGAGGTTTTTTGGCTAAGTACACCTCGAAGTTGGAAGTTCTGGTTACCTCCAGAATTTGGTCGGTAGATGAGGCCAGTTCGTCTACAGCGTTGTTTTGAGATAAGACAAGCACTTCCTTCACCCGTTGAGACAATAAAAGTAGTCTAAACGAGCCCTCTTCAATGGTCCGTTGAAAAAGGACCCATCTCATTCGTAGCGACATGCCTGTCGCTGAACCATGTTGTAGATCGATATTGCTGAAGAGTTGACCTAACCTTTGTCGATCGATTGAATCTCCACGCTTGAAAATAGTCTTTTTTATAGTTTCTTAATGTTCCGAAACATCACTAGTAAGTTACTAGGTGCGACATGCCTGTTGAGACTGCGCTGCAGTGCCTTCACTACCACGAGAAACTGTGCATGTGGGTATGACACGCCGTGCTCGAAGTCAGGCTTTGATTTTATCGGGGCAAAATGGCATTAGCTGAAATGAAGGCGAAGGAGTCCTAATCTTAAATCACTTAGGAGTCTGTACCACCATTATGAACATAAAGTATACCAATGAACTAGAAAAAAGTATCTGGAAATATGAAAACAATATCAAACCATGTAAAAATGAAAATTAAGAAATGATATATAGTGTTGAAACAAGGAACAGACAGTCTACGAATTGGTGTACCAGATCACACCGGTCTCACCACTGAAAATGCCACATGTATTCGGAGTTTGACGATGCCTTAACCAGTTTAATTGAAGTATGCCAATCCAGTCAAATCAGAAGTCAGAAATGACGGAGTCTGTAGATATATTCGGAAAGCTATCGATATGTCGAGAAGCCTTTGGTCTGAGCTGGTTAGTAGTTGAAAGGAATGAGTAGCAAGGCGTACCCACTCGTGATCTGGTGCGAATGCGTGACCGAGCAAAGCGAGTTCAGTAAAACTGATGTAGTCAGCATCAAATGTCGAAGACTTACAAAGTTATTGGTTTCGAGGATTTATTTATTACTACAAAGATATGACTCACCAACGGATTATTTGAGGAAGAAAACGGATTTTCACAGGGATAGCCCTCGCATTTAACAGCACAGATCAGACTACTTACTATCATTAATACTTCACACTTAAGACTTGACCATTTAACTTAGGGGAACCTAATGACTTTCAGTATCCTTAAATTTTCTGGACATTCCCTTAAACACCTACTTAAGCATTTTCCCAATACAAACGTAAGGGGTAACACTTAGAAACTGGAGACGCAACATAGCAGAACAGACTGTAGACACAACTTCTACCCCTTAAGAGTTTTCAAATGCTGGAATTCGCCGCCGACTGAGCTAGTCCAGGCAACTTTGCAGGGGTCCTTTAAGCAGAAACTTGACCTATTCTTAAGGACTAAGGATAACACTTTATTATGATTTACCAATTCCTTTTCTTTCCTCTTTTATCTTTAATGTACCTAGATTCCTTCCTGGAGGTATTGGTGATCCACTGCTACCAGACAAGGAAGCCGTTTAAGCAAAAGCTTCATCTATTCCGTCCACTACCATTTGAACCGTTTAACTTGAAAGTAGGTGTTTAAGTCATTCAGTATTATCAGCCGCTGCCTCAAGCGCCTTGCGTTTCGGTTGTCAGGGTTAGCTCGTCGATACTGTCAACAATAATGAAAATAGAAGAGGTTCGCAGCACATCGAAAACTCAGAGAATAGCAGCCCATACACATGTTAAGGGCCTTGGATTAGATGAAACCGGCACTGCTCTGTCAAATGCATGTGGACTTGTTGGTCAAGAGTGCGCGCGTGAAGTATTGTGTATTTCCTCGATATACTTTTATATCAGGCCGCTGGTATTGTGGTAGAAATGATTAGATCAAAGAAAATGGCCGGGCGTGCGGTTTTAATGGCAGGGCCCCCAGGGACTGGAAAGGTTAGTATAGTTGAATATGCTACTAATTGAGCAAAATTCTAATCCAAGCCCCAACCACTTTTTATATCATGATTTTATAAATTTTGCGCTTCACAGACTGCAATAGCTTTAGCCATTGCCCAGGATCTTGGTGGAAAAGTTCCATTTTGCCCGATGGTTGGGAGTGAGGTTTACTCTTCCGAAATAAAGAAGACGGAAGTTTTGATGGAGAACTTCAGGAGAGCGATAGGTATTTTTATCAATGCCTTCATAATAAAAGACTGAAGGTTTGCGCATAAAGGAGATCAAAGAAGTATATGAAGGAGAAGTAACCGAGTTGACTCCGGTAGAGACGGAGAGTCCAACTGGAGGTAACTCAATCTATTTCTTTAATAATATGACAGGTTTCGGCAAAACAATCAGTCATGTTATTATCAGTTTGCGTACTGCCAAGGGTGTCAAACAACTGAAATTGGACCCATGTATTTATGAGAGTCTGCAGAAAGAACATGTTGAGGTCGGGGATGTAATTTATATCGAAGCCAACTCCGGTGCAGTCAAGCGTCAGGGGAGATGTGATGTTTATACAGCTGAATATGATTTAGAAGCTGACGAGTATGTCCCTCTCCCAAAAGGGGAAGTTCATAAAAAGAAAGATGTTGTTCAGGATGTTACACTTCATGATCTGGATGTAGCAAACGCCCGACCTCAAGGGGGCCAAGATATTGTCTCAATGATGGGCCAGCTCATGAAGCCAAAGAAGACGGAAATCACAGGTATAGTTTTATACCTTAATGCCTCCTGGCTCTTTATGCTAGTTTGTTTTCATTATATTAGCGAGTCAAAGTCTAATATTGTTTTCATCACAACGAATATTCAGTTTCATCGTTTTTTGACTTATGAAATATCGATAGCTTATCATTGACGGTTGAGTTGAAAATCGTAAGACTGCATCCATATCAAGTGTTTAACGAGAATATTTGACAGTATATGAGTGCCAAGGTTTATAAACTCCAGGTTTAGGATAAGTTATTCTTGAGGACCGCCAATGCTTGCATATGGATACAGAGGTCTAGTAAATACAGGTTCGGAAACGAACACTTAGTAGTATGGTAAATCCTCTAAAAGTTTAGTGATCGGTAGCTCGAAACAGTGCTTACAAGTAATGAACTGACTGAACCAGTAGTAACTGAAACTTGATCGAATATGCATCAATCAGCTTAATCCCATCAGGTCCAGAAACAAACATACTCCAAAAACTCTCGACAATACTGTTTATTAACTAACAGGTATTTAACACAGTTAAGTACTTTCCCCAGACTCTCACCATCGTAAATTCTTTTGGTTAGTTGGTGTTTAAGATGGTTACTTGAGGTTCCCACACTTTTGTTCGGCTTTGAGAAAAAGGTCTTAGTGATTTCACAGATAAATTCTATGTATTGAGTATCTACACAAGTTATTAATCCTTAATGATGGATATGTCCTTTTTTATATCCCAAAGCATAGAAAACTGCATTTCTGATGTTTCGCGACTTAATGTAATCCTTACTTTGCAGAATCTTTGTTTTCAAATTAAGGTACTAATAATTCAACTCCAAGTGCAGATACTCATACTCAGCTTAGACCTACACTAGGATGTGAAGACTAGTGGTACTACCCTGCTACCTGCTAATTAGAATATCACGTGGTTTAACATCGAACTATATTTCCATTTGTCTTATTCGTTCATGGTTTTCAATAACCAATGTTTAGGATCATTCTATATCATACGGTAAGTTGTGGAAGTATTTCCCACACTTACAGATCTCTGGTTACTTTCCAAGGATCGGACTATACTACTTTTATTACAAGTTTAAAATGATCATCCATCACCCTTAATATTGAAAACTGCTTTCTATGCGAATGATCATGATGCTCTTCAATCTTACTCTTGATATCTAGGTTTTAAGGTTGGAAATACTGTAGACGACAATCATCAATTTAGAGATGATTTTAAGAGGTTATGTAATTGCTACATGTCCAAAAGGATCTGGTTAAAGTAATCTTCCACTATCATATCTGTAACTCTTACTTTTCCGCCATGCTCCATGTTGTACTGACTGACTAGTAATTTGAACACAGCATATCTGTCACTGTTTACACTTTGTTTATGACCAAAAAAGGGTTTTCCTTTATGTGGAAGTTAACTTGGTTTCTGGCGTGTACTATTTCACTAGAATATAATGTAATTGGTTAATGCTGAATAAACATTCATAGGACAACACATTTCCTGTGGAGATGTGGCACACACCAGCAAAAACCTATTCTACACAGTTAATTTGCACGTTGTAAAAAAGAAAGACATATGGTAATAAGTTTTAGTCTGCCAATTCATTACAACCAGTGCCACAATGAATCCATCACAAGTTACTGTCCACTTTGGAATATTATGTTAATTGTAGTAAAAAGATGTGATCATTTAGATCACAGTAAGCCTGTGAAGCCACTAGTTATCTCCGTCCGCGTTGATGATTAAAGCCGTACTGACATAAGTCCTAAAGATATAAATGAGTGATAAGAGAATCTGCGTTACTTGTACTAAAATAATTTGTAGTTCTTGGACAAGTTATCCTTCATAATGTAAGTGTCGAATTCCTGACTTTTTAGCTGTTCTTTATCCATCTTACCAACTTTCTGTTATACATGTTGTAAAGTATGAAAATCTGAACCGATTTAATTTAGTCTTGGACTGTCATCTTTTACGCCCGACCGTCATCTTTTACGTCCTTAAACTGAAGCAGTATTTACTATCAAGGCTTTTCAGAAAAGTTCGAACAATTTAATAACTATTAAATACTAATTTGCTTATATCTAGTAAATATTTTTAATTCTGTAATGCTTATTTATTAGTGGGATCATGTAAATACCAGTAGCGTATTTCATTTTTTTCTTTGACAGATAAGCTAAGGAAGGAAATCAACAAGGTTGTTAATAAATACATAGATCAAGGTATCGCTGAACTTGTTCCTGGTGTGCTGTTTATTGATGAAGTACATATGCTAGACATCGAATGTTTCACCTATCTTCATCGAGCACTCGAATCAACAATCGCACCCATCGTTATTTTTGCTACCAATCGGGGAAAATGTACTATCAGGTATTTTTTATTTGTATAAACACGATACATTCACTGAAAATATTCTCTATCCTGTTTATTATTCTTAGAAAAAGTGGAAATTATATCATTTCAATTAACCTTCAGATTTTATTTCGTTTTACCTATTTGATGATGTACACTCTGAAGAGTCAAACTGATGCAATCAAAATTAATACAGTGATAGCTATTTATTATTCCTATGTACAAGTAATGATTTATGACTAAGCTGTTACAATATCGCGTGTTGAACAACATACTGTAGTTTTTGTAAATTGTGCAGTTTATGTACGTTGGAGTGACTAATTTAAGATCCATAAATAATTGAAAACTTGAATGATTAACACCATTCGGAAAATACTAGCCGGAGACTTTGTTATTTAAATTACACTACTTGGTTCATAGTCATCAGTATGATAAAAGTATTACTATCAATTGCTATCATTTTCTTCTATACATGGTGCTTTTTTTAGCCTTAACCAAGAATATAAACACGTATCAAATGTCAGTTTCCAAAGTTAGTTTTTCACTCTAGTTTTGATCTTAAAGGATCAGTTTCTGATTTCTGGATGTTACTAGTTAACTGTCTATTTTACATACTTTCTGTATATTATTCTTAAATTGATGCTATTTGTATTGTAAATAATTTTATATCTTTCAGTGTTGTGTGGGAAAACTATGTAAAGTACAAACTCGTTTCAATTTCACGAACTCGGTATACGGCTTTAAGGACAACCATTTTTGCCATTTCTATACTAATTCTTTAGTCTTTAAGGTTTTAGAGAGTGGAATCTTACAATATTTTTTGGTTGCTGTGATGAATTTTTACTGTCTATACCTTAGATATGTGGCGATGACATTAATGTCAACTAAGCGATCATTTATGTCTGAGGACCTAAGTAACTTGATGCTGGTATAGTAATTTCATTTAAATTAACTTATTCTTTAGGTACTTTGATACGAACCACATTCTAAGTGTGGATAATCACGATACAACCCGGTTTCTCAAACCGAAGAGGGTAGTATTTATATGGGGTAAATGAAATGTGGCTAGCAGTGGAATTTAGGACGCGCGTTTCGTCCTATTCTGGACTCGTCAGATGGATGTATCTTGCGCGAGTAAGTGGCTATCTAGACTCGATAGCTAAGTGGATAACGCGGTGGCGTTTGAAGTAAACGGTTCTGGGTTCGAGTCTCTGGATGAACATCGACTCGGAGGTGAGCATACTTCCGGCTGATAATTCCCAAATAAAACAGCTCGCGTCCTGGATTCCACTGCTAGCAACATTCCATTTATTCTGTCTTGTACTTGTGTATATCAAAAGAATCCTCATAAGATGTAAATATACTTATCAAGACTGATCAAATTTCAGTCAAAATATCAGCAATGGAATAATCCAAACCATATCAAATCGAATTGAGTATTGTTATAGCTTCACCAACTAGTACTTGTTCACTTTTCATGATATATCTTAGTATTGAATTTTGGATGCACTATAAATCCTGTTATTAATTAGGATTTATAATCATGGTTATGAAATATTAATTATCAATGAAGTGTCACTGCCAATCATGTAATTGAAAAATGTTTTCACTAGGTTATGTTACCTAACTTCCCAGGTTTTTTTGTTGGATAATTGTTGTAGAAAGTACAACTTCCATTTACTACTCATCTGCGTGAAAACGAATTTGTATCCGCATTGTTTGTACCTTTTGAAACAAATTAATTGATAGTTTAATGGAGGAGAAAGAAAATTGTTGGGGCCATGTAAACTTATCGATACTGTTAGTCGCAATATATTCTTAAGTGTTACCCTATTTTTTGTTGTCTGTTTAATAGCGGATAGTGTTAGTTTCACCACTATTAGCATTGTTCGTTACCTATTGATTCGAGCAACTAACCTGAACGGCGAATTTTTTGTGGTGGTTGACAAATATTTACAGTCACTAATTTTAAGCATAATGAGAGACATCGTCTAAAATGGCGACCCCCGCACCAAACCAACGATGGACTCAAATAGACCATATTACCTTCAGTCATCGTTGGAGAGGCTCGATAGAAGATTCTCTCTCGTACTGAAATACATGTTTACACACTGATTATGCTCTAATACGAGCACGTATTTGCTTGTGCCTCACTGGCAGTGCCTGTCATTGAAAGGTGTGCCTCAAAAGTACGTAAGCCTTGTGAAGGCTCTTTACTCGAACACTACCAGTCAAGTCACAGCTTATGGCGAACTGTCATCTGATTTTGCGACCTCAAGTATTGTTGAACAAGGCCATCCACTATCTTCCTTTTCGTTCAATTTCATCATATACCTACTGCTGGAAATAACGCTCTGGTCGACTGAATTTTCAGGCATTGATCTACCAGGAGGTACACTTATCGACTTGGAATACGCAGATGATATACTCCTGTTTGGCGAAGGCGCTGATAAAATACAGAGTCTTCTGTTAGAACTGAGTAACAACGCCAGGATATTTGAGATGCGTTTCTCCCCCTCTAAATGTAAATTGTTGCTCCAGGACTGGCCTGCGTCAACACCTGAACTAAGGATAGGGAGTGAAGTAGTCGAACGCGTCGACAACTTCACTTATCTTGGAAGTCTAATTAGCCCTAATGGGTTGGTGTCTGACAAAATCTCTGCACGGATTCAAAAAGCTCGTTTGGCTTACGTCACCTATAGCGAAGATGAGATATCCGTCTATCAATTAAGGGACGAGTATACTGCGCAGCAGTTCGCTCTGTTCTACTTTACGGCTGTGAAACATGGCCATTAAGAGTAGAAGATACTCGTAAGTCACTAGTATTTGACCACAGATACCTTATAAATGTTGCTCGCATCTGCTGCGAACACCGGGTAATAGTGAGGTTAGACACAAGGTATTGGGGAATAATGGTAAATCAGTTGATGAGGTTGTGAATCTTCATCGACCGTGATGGTTGGGCCACATGTTACGTATGCCTGAACACCGATTACCACGGTGCGCTATGATGACTAGTATTGGCGATGGTTGGAAGAAAGTAAGGAGCGGCCAAACCAAAACGTGGCATCAGTCCTTGAAGTCACCAACTTCTGGTCTGAGCCATGTTGGCAGATGCAGACTACTTGGTTGGGGTCCGCACGACTATCGTAACCAATGGTTGGAGACTCTGTGTGGCATGGCTCAGAATCGACCACAATGGCGCAGGTGTATACACTCTGTATTCCTTTAAACCTTGAGATTAAAATCGCTTCATATCTGTCTTTCTTCCTGTACTATATCCTTATATACAACCTCTCTTTTATATATTACCGCCACTAAATTAACTACTTCTATGAATTCGGAGTTCATGTTGTTGTGCTAATGTAGTGTGGCAACTTAGACCGATGCATATATGTGCCTCGTCCTACGTTGTAGCTGACTGAAAGTCATAAAATCAAACATCGCTTACTGTGTTAATAATATTCAATCGTCGATCATGATCATACTTGTGTTCTGTATCAAGCTACTTGAGTTCGTAAAAGTTTTGCATTAATATTTTGTTAGCGATACGTTCTATAAAATTGACAAAACAGTGTGGTCAGTGTTTTCATCTAAGTTGCTTTGTCACTTTGCAGTAAATGTTAAAAGTGATCAGTGATAAATTATCGTTCGTATTAACGACATTCTCGGCCATTTGTTCTAGGCATTTATCAACATCACTAACGTATCATTCGTGCATCTCCTGAAATCGTCGAGATTCCAACTAATTCATCCCATCTTCAACGTCACTGTTACGCCTGTGAATTCTCAACTGATTTGCTCTTGTTACTGAAACTGTGAGTCTGATGATGCGTAGTAAAAACACAGACTCCTGACATAGATTTTTTTGACCTCCAAAATAAATGGAAACGATTTATAAACACAACGCTTTTTATGTAGTTTATTTACGGTCAGATTTGTATAACGTGATCTGAGTGGTATATAACATCAATTAATCGGCGACTTACTATGTGAACACATTTACCATATAAAATTAACCGTCTGTAATCAATAGATAAAACCAGCTGACCGAATAATATTATTTCCCCTCAAGATGTGATTACATGTCACAGGAGATTGAAAAAGTCAGTTTCATATTTCATTCTCATCGTTCTCCATATCAGATTTGGCTTACGTTACTTAAAATACAATTGTAATCTGGGCTATATATTAATTTGGTCTCATCTCATAGTATTCACATACTCCACATATTCCATACTCCAAACTCCAAAACAAGCATTTATCGTGAAATAATTTCATTTTAATCAACAGGCTTTATACCTCCAACTACATATTTCCATTCAGTTGGTGTTTGTTACACAATGTGTTAGTGTCCTTTTAATCAATCAGTTGATTGGGAAATCCTTTTCAACGGGTTTATTTTCATGACTGCTGAATCGTAGAGATGTAACAAATTATAAGCTTATAAACATTGTTTGCTAAGGTATTATAGTTTTGAAAATCAACTCTGCTAGGGATTGCTTCTCTGAATTAATTGTATTACAACATTTGTATTCATCTACTTTTAAACGGTCTTCCATCTCTTATCACTATTTTCGTTTTTGGTGATATTTTCTTTTGAAATTATAATTTAGAGGCACTGAAGACATTATTTCTCCTCATGGAATCCCATTAGATCTACTAGATCGTGTTATGATCATACGCACTCTTCCTTATTCTTGTGAAGAAGTAATCCAAATCCTACGTATACGTGCACAAACTGAAGGGATAAAAGTATCTGAACAAGCATTCACTTGCCTTGCAACTGTCGCTACAGATACAACTTTACGGTGAGTTTTCAATGATCTCGCTAAATTAGACTTACATTCTCTATAATATATGTCAGAATTTCGTTGGGATATGGAATCTTCAAATACAACTTATAAAGGAGAAAGTCATCAATTTGAGGTCAACTTCCTACACATTTTCGTTACATTGCTTTAGGAACTACTCAAGTGCTTCTCCTCTGTTCTGAGACCCCAGCCTGTACATCCAAATCTTCAGTTGGCACTACGCGGTTTCTCAAAAGGACCATTAAATTATTGGCAAAACTCATCCTTGATTGTACTGGAGCTACAATTTGTTGGGGCATATGAGAAGACAATTAAAAGACATTCTTCATGCCAGTTTCTCACTTTGATGGAGCTTTTTAATCTAACAACATAAATGACTGCAAATGGAGGATCCAATCGATTACTACTCCCTCTCATCTGGCGCTTATTGCAAGATCATGTCAACTAGACTGACGAAGATACCACAAAGTCTCCAGATAAGCGTATGTAAAATAAACTGTTCGAAACGACAGAGCACGAATTTGTAGTACTTCGCTTTAGCAAAGACAGCCAAAATTATCTGTTCTCTGATCTTCATTAGTCTATAAATGTTCATGGAAAGTTATTTAGATTGTACATATAGTTTCAGAAAAGCTGTATCACGCATCACATTCAGTGGAACCATTCACAAATTCGACTACAGAGCAATATGAGAACGTTTAAACAAGATAGAACACTCACCTTAGACGAGATTCTAAGTGGGTTAAAAAAAGAGAAGTATACACAAAATGGAAATGAAAAATCAATAGAAAGACGAACCAGCGTATGACATATTTGTCTGCAATTAGGTATTGATAAATATCGTTTATATAGATTATGTGGGGTACAGAATCACTTTCTTCAATGATCATATCTGTGTATTCTCTGACATACTGCTTGGATGCTTAAGCCAAGACAGGTGGTTTCCTTGGTAGGCCACTCTCCGAGCGCTTGAACTAAAGGTCTTTGTTGTGACGTGTGGTATCTTAGAGTTGACACTGATACGCACATACTTTGCCCCCAAAGGCCCTGGTATGGCCGAAGGTGGGAAGAGTCCGTTCTCCTTTTCGAAATGCTCTCACATGGCCACACGTATACAGCCACTGCCGGACAAGTTTTACTCACTGCCTTCTTGCGGCGGGGATGTTCGTGAAATTGGGTTGGTGGACACGAAAAGTCCACCTAGGGGAGTTGAAAAACCCTGATTCTAGACCAATGTGCACATGGGCTCCAGTATCCTGAAGTAACAAATGGCGTATAAACCAATCGTTGGTCACCGGCTACCATGGGACTGCATCTCCTTACGATGCTCCAATGCCTTTTGGATTAGACCTTTAGGCCGAAGGCTCGGGGTGTGGCCCTCTAAGAAAACCACCTGCTTTGATCTGGACACCCGGGCAGTATCACAGCCCACTCACAAACTAAGTGACTTATGTGGCGCATGTGTATTCGGTGCCCCTTTGTACCAATATTTATGTATTCAAATAAAAATTAAGTAATAAACCTATATATTAGCCTGGCAACTCGAGAAAAAAGATAGGTTGTAGAAAATGTTTGTTTGGGTAAGCCTAATCGATTGTATGTGTACTCATTTACATACGTATGTATCTGTCCAGTAGGAAATTAAGCCTATAAGTGGTTTATGTCTCATCGCTTGAAAATAAAGGCCATTTATCGACCAATCACATTCACCTACAGTTTCTAATTGCCCACCGTATCAGTCTTATCTACAAAGCAATGAGGCAACATTAGATGTTTGTCCCATGTTAGTCGGTGACGAAAGTGTGTCTGTACATCATCCGTTTCCTCATGATCTTGGAACCCATATGTGCACAATCATTTTGAAATCAGGGTTTTCTAACTTTATTAGATGGATCCACCAAGCCGGATAAACCTCTGAGCGTTCGCTTTTCTTCCTCTCATTTCTATAGATAACACTTGTCTCATGAAGGCAATGAGTAGAAAGTCCATGGCAGTTGTTATGATCTCTTGACCATAGATATTTATTCCTCAGCTTAGAAACTTAAGATTGTTTTGTATAATATTTTTGTTTTGATGAATTTCTTTGTTTCTCACCGAATTAAACAGTTTTTTTTTATTTTCATAGATATGCTGTCCAACTTTTGACCCCGGCGTGTCGTCTTGCTCAACTGAGTGGACGAGATGAAGTCGAACCTTCAGATATCGAAGAAGTAAGATCTCTATTTCTTAATGCAAAGCAATCTGCCAAAATACTTACTGAACATGAAAATCAGTTTATGCGCTGAATATACGTAATGTTGAAGCGTATGCATAATTTTGTAAACAAAAATATATGATTATTCACTATTACCTTGTTTTTTTATTGCATTTTGTTGTTCATTTCCTACGTTTTTATACGGGTTTCAACTGTTTTAAAAATTGTAGGGCGCTTCAGTTCAATACTGTGATAATTTATAAATTACTACAACTACACTATTCCCATCATACCAGAAGTGTTAGATAGGTTACTTGCTCATACATTTTCAGTGTGGCTGCATTTAAAAAAAATGCATGTTTAAAAAAGTGATATTTTTTGTTACATGGTTCAATGTTGTGACAGTGATTCATAAAATGTATTAACCTTTAAAAATCACGATATATTGGGCTGAACCAATTTTCCTCTAAGTTTTGTGATAAAAGCAGATTGTATTCACATTCTACTGAAAATTATGTGTATTCTAGTAGTTTCTTGTCTATGATCGTAGCTGTGGCGAAGTCATCAGAGATCCCATTCCAGTTACTTCTGTAGTAACTACCTAATGTGGTACATTTTCATGTCTACGAAGAAATTTATTTTAAATAAATATATTTGTATACCAGTAGGAAATACATACAAATAAATTTTGAGCTGTATTGTAGGTAAGTGGTCAATCTTCAACACTTGTTTATCAAGACATGGTCACAAAATGAGGGGAAAATAAAATATAGTCACGTAATGACTACGCGCACACTATCTCTCGACCATTTTTGATACGTTCTATGAAAGTTTCGTTTCAAGTGCTTCAGTTTAAACTATTACAGTAAATTTAATAATGGTAAGAATAAATTGGTATCATTATCCTTAATGTTATGTCTTTATAGTATTCTGAGTAATTTACTAGGTAGTGATGTGATTGTCTTAATCGTTTTCAAATTTATTTGTACATTGCAAAAACCATGAGTCAGTCAGTCAGCTACAACGTAGGACGAGGCACATATATGCATCGGTCTAAGTTGCCACACTACATTAGCACAACAACATGAACTCCGAATTCATAGAAGTAGTTAATTTAGTGGCGGTAATATATAAAAGAGAGGTTGTATATAAGGATATAGTACAGGAAGAAAGACAGATATGAAGCGATTTTAATCTCAAGGTTTAAAGGAATACAGAGTGTATACACCTGCGCCATTGTGGTCGATTCTGAGCCATGCCACACAGAGTCTCCAACCATTGGTTACGATAGTCGTGCGGACCCCAACCAAGTAGTCTGCATCTGCCAACATGGCTCAGACCAGAAGTTGGTGACTTCAAGGACTGATGCCACGTTTTGGTTTGGCCGCTCCTTACTTTCTTCCAACCATCGCCAATACTAGTCATCATAGCGCACCGTGGTAATCGGTGTTCAGGCATACGTAACATGTGGCCCAACCATCACGGTCGATGAAGATTCACAACCTCATCAACTGATTTACCATTATTCCCCAATACCTTGTGTCTAACCTCACTATTACCCGGTGTTCGCAGCAGATGCGAGCAACATTTATAAGGTATCTGTGGTCAAATACTAGTGACTTACGAGTATCTTCTACTCTTAATGGCCATGTTTCACAGCCGTAAAGTAGAACAGAGCGAACTGCTGCGCAGTATACTCGTCCCTTAATTGATAGACGGATATCTCATCTTCGCTATAGGTGACGTAAGCCAAACGAGCTTTTTGAATCCGTGCAGAGATTTTGTCAGACACCAACCCATTAGGGCTAATTAGACTTCCAAGATAAGTGAAGTTGTCGACGCGTTCGACTACTTCACTCCCTATCCTTAGTTCAGGTGTTGACGCAGGCCAGTCCTGGAGCAACAATTTACATTTAGAGGGGGAGAAACGCATCTCAAATATCCTGGCGTTGTTACTCAGTTCTAACAGAAGACTCTGTATTTTATCAGCGCCTTCGCCAAACAGGAGTATATCATCTGCGTATTCCAAGTCGATAAGTGTACCTCCTGGTAGATCAATGCCTGAAAATTCAGTCGACCAGAGCGTTATTTCCAGCAGTAGGTATATGATGAAATTGAACGAAAAGGAAGATAGTGGATGGCCTTGTTCAACAATACTTGAGGTCGCAAAATCAGATGACAGTTCGCCATAAGCTGTGACTTGACTGGTAGTGTTCGAGTAAAGAGCCTTCACAAGGCTTACGTACTTTTGAGGCACACCTTTCAATGACAAGCACTGCCAGTGAGGCACAAGCAAATACGTGCTCGTATTAGAGCATAATCAGTGTGTAAACATGTATTTCAGTACGAGAGAGAATCTTCTATCGAGCCTCTCCAACGATGACTGAAGGTAATATGGTCTATTTGAGTCCATCGTTGGTTTGGTGCGGGGGTCGCCATTTTAGACGATGTCTCTCATTATGCTTAAAATTAGTGACTGTAAATATTTGTCAACCACCACAAAAAATTCGCCGTTCAGGTTAGTTGCTCGAATCAATAGGTAACGAACAATGCTAATAGTGGTGAAACTAACACTATCCGCTATTAAACAGACAACAAAAAATAGGGTAACACTTAAGAATATATTGCGACTAACAGTATCGATAAGTTTACATGGCCCCAACAATTTTCTTTCTCCTCCATTAAACTATCAATTAATTTGTTTCAAAAGGTACAAACAATGCGGATACAAATTCGTTTTCACGCAGATGAGTAGTAAATGGAAGTTGTACTTTCTACAACAATTATCCAACAAAAAAACCTGGGAAGTTAGGTAACATAACCTAGTGAAAACATTTTTCAATTACATGATTGGCAGTGACACTTCATTGATAATTAATATTTCATAACCATGATTATAAATCCTAATTAATAACAGGATTTATAGTGCATCCAAAATTCAATACTAAGATATATCATGAAAAGTGAACAAGTACTAGTTGGTGAAGCTATAACAATACTCAATTCGATTTGATATGGTTTGGATTATTCCATTGCTGATATTTTGACTGAAATTTGATCAGTCTTGATAAGTATATTTACATCTTATGAGGATTCTTTTGATATACACAAGTACAAGACAGAATAAATGGAATGTTGCTAGCAGTGGAATCCAGGACGCGAGCTGTTTTATTTGGGAATTATCAGCCGGAAGTATGCTCACCTCCGAGTCGATGTTCATCCAGAGACTCGAACCCAGAACCGTTTACTTCAAACGCCACCGCGTTATCCACTTAGCTATCGAGTCTAGATAGCCACTTACTCGCGCAAGATACATCCATCTGACGAGTCCAGAATAGGACGAAACGCGCGTCCTAAATTCCACTGCTAGCCACATTTCATTTACCCCATATAAATACTACCCTCTTCGGTTTGAGAAACCGGGTTGTATCGTGATTATCCACACTTAGAATGTGGTTCGTATCAAAGTACCTAAAGAATAAGTTAATTTAAATGAAATTACTATACCAGCATCAAGTTACTTAGGTCCTCAGACATAAATGATCGCTTAGTTGACATTAATGTCATCGCCACATATCTAAGGTATAGACAGTAAAAATTCATCACAGCAACCAAAAAATATTGTAAGATTCCACTCTCTAAAACCTTAAAGACTAAAGAATTAGTATAGAAATGGCAAAAATGGTTGTCCTTAAAGCCGTATACCGAGTTCGTGAAATTGAAACGAGTTTGTACTTTACATAGTTTTCCCACACAACACTGAAAGATATAAAATTATTTACAATACAAATAGCATCAATTTAAGAATAATATACAGAAAGTATGTAAAATAGACAGTTAACTAGTAACATCCAGAAATCAGAAACTGATCCTTTAAGATCAAAACTAGAGTGAAAAACTAACTTTGGAAACTGACATTTGATACGTGTTTATATTCTTGGTTAAGGCTAAAAAAAGCACCATGTATAGAAGAAAATGATAGCAATTGATAGTAATACTTTTATCATACTGATGACTATGAACCAAGTAGTGTAATTTAAATAACAAAGTCTCCGGCTAGTATTTTCCGAATGGTGTTAATCATTCAAGTTTTCAATTATTTATGGATCTTAAATTAGTCACTCCAACGTACATAAACTGCACAATTTACAAAAACTACAGTATGTTGTTCAACACGCGATATTGTAACAGCTTAGTCATAAATCATTACTTGTACATAGGAATAATAAATAGCTATCACTGTATTAATTTTGATTGCATCAGTTTGACTCTTCAGAGTGTACATCATCAATTATGTGTCATGTTCATCATGTGTATAATAAACTTCAGGCACCATTACGTCCCATTAGAACAGATCGTTTATTGATTATGGTCACGTTTATTCTTGCTTTATAATTAGTTCATAAGCGTGTCATTTTTACTGACCAATAGTAGTATAACTTTCTGCGCGGATTTTCGTGTTTTTGGTGTGGTCTCATTATCGGGCGTCGTTTTGTGTTATACAATGAATATAATCACCTACCATTTCTATATGTTTTTGATCATTCTGAACTATTTGTAAATAAATCTCAACTTTTATAAGAGATTTTGCAATACATTATCATATTTGTTACGTCTGGCCGATTGTGAACGCTATATTCGCTTCCCTAAGCTAGTTCCGTACCCCCGAGCTAGAACTATACACCGACTTGACCAGAGAAAAGGCTAAAATGTGTGGGAAGCACTATACTACAGGGTTCATTTATGTATAGAAAATATAGGGATTTTATAGTAATTTAAGAGTCCTTGAATTTTACCGAAAATTCTAGAATACTGCTAAACATAGTAGCAGTGCATTAATCAGCCAATCAGGATCTCCACATGTGACTTTTCCATTTTCGTTATTTTAGTAACATTACTTCACATAACTTCTAATTAATCGCTGATTGGTTGAAATGCTCCTTGATGACCCCTGAGCTTGTTGTGTCGCTTGCGAGAAAAATGCAGGGTCATCCCAACAATATTACTATAACAATTATCAAGATATCACAAAATACTTGACCATTATTAAGCATCTTCGTCCCGTGTAGCCTCGGGGATTTTATTAAGCCT